GTTCATGTCCCTTTTTCTTACATATTTTGCAGAATGCATAAAATGTTTCTTCGACATTACTTGAACTTGTATTAGGTTGGATGTTTCTATTGCGAGCATCACTTTCTTCAATTATTTTAATTTTTAACTTTTCTGGACTTATTAGTGAGTCTTGCGATTCTATTGCAATTCTAAAATTCTCATAATCGTTTGAGAGGCTATATAGCATCATTATGGACAATAAGTCACTATTAATTTCTATATCTAAGTCTTTTAGTTTGTCTACCGTATCCATGAAGTCCTTCAAGTGTTCCCGAACATCTGCATCAATGCCTAGTCTAGTCAATATCAATTTCTTTAATAGAGTTGCTTTTCTGGCAGGCCCTTGACTGGCATATACACCTTTGAGTTTTTCCCAAACGTCTTTTGCGTGGAGACAGTTCTTTACTTCTTTTAATTCAGTTGATGAGATCAGTAACAGTAACTCGGCTTTCGCAAGTTCATCATTTTCTTTTTCAGAATCTGAATTCTCATCAGGATACTTCGTTACATATTTCCATAATTTGTTTTTTATTAAATATGCTTTTGCATGAATTACCCATGTGTCATAATTTTCTTTTCCAAGTGGAGAAATTTTTACGATCGACATTTTCTTTCCTGTAAACGCTCTGCTACCATATTAAGTTTTATATTTGATGGGCAATTAACATAAACAAAGTTGGAAATATAATTAAATATAATAGTTTTATTTGGTATTTACATAAAAGACACACAAGACCTAAATATATTTTTACAAGACAGCTGACAATATCAACTACTCTCTTTTATAGTCATAGAGATCTATGAAGAGTGTAAAGACTCTTTATTACTCGTGGTATAATAAAGGCTGTCCTCTTAACAGTATTTCTTTATTTATTGTCCCTGCTGCCTTGGTAAGTCAAAATTTGATTATTATCTTATAGTTGTATGAACGTCCCCCCGGCTAGTAATTTTGTTACCATTACTTCAAATAATGAATCTGGTATGGAAACAGATGGTTCCATGTCCAGTCGCACATTAAAACGTAGCCGGCTCCATGTTGTATGATGTTGCTCGATGTAAAGGAGTTTATAACAATTAAACAAAGTTTTAAATGATCCGGATATTTTTATTCATCAAATAACAGCAGAGCGTGGTTAAAGGATCAGTGGTTTAATGATCAAGAACAATGACGACATCGGGATCGGGAATAACCTTTGTAAAGCTGGGTGATGGCGTCACATTTTCGAATTGGAAATTTCGTATAAAATTATTATTGGAAGAAAATACATTAGAAGAAGGAAAACTTAAAAGCGGATCGCAAATTGAAGATGCGAAAGCAAAATCATTAATCGTTCAGTGTATAAATGATTCTCATTTAGAAATTGTTAAAACATGTCTGACTGCGGCCGACATGATTAAAAAATTGGAAGAGGTATTGGAACGAAAAAGCGTGTTTAACAAATTGCACTTAAGAAAGAAACTATTAACAATGAAGTCGAAATATTCAGATAAATTACAAGATCATTTCTTAAAATTTGATACAATAATGGCGGACTTAGAAGCCAGTGGATCCAAAATGGATGAATCAGATAAGGTTTGTCACTTACTATTAACATTGCCAAACGAGTATGATATCGTTATTACTGCGTTAGAAACAATGAGTGATATTACCATTGAGTTAGTAAAGTCTAGACTTTTAGATGCGGAATTGAAATTAAAATATAACTATGGGCAAGACACAATTAATGAAGCGAAAAGTTTTTTGACATGTTACACGTGCGGCAGAAAAGGACATAAGTCCTATGAATGTAAGAAACCAAAACGAAACTTTAATAAGTCATATAGAGGTCGAGGAAAATATACAAGAGGTAATATTAATAATTATGAAAGGAACAATAGACAAGCAAACTATACAGAGAGTGAAGAAATAGAAAGTAAAGTGAATCAAAATAGTATATTTGTAGCCACAACAAGTTCTCATAAATGAATAGAAGAGTTTGTCATTGACTCTGGAGCTACACACCACTATGTGAAAGAAGAATTAGAACAGTTCATGCATGATGTAAAAAATTTAGATAAAGAAATATACATTAAAATTGCTAATGGTGAGTCTATAATATCGAAGAAAAAAGGAAAATTAACATTGTTTTATGAGCGATCAAAGAAGATAACAATAGAATGTCAAATAGTAGAGAATTTAAGTCATAATTTAATATCAGTACAAAAATTAATATCAAAAGGTTATACAGTCCAGTTTAAAGAAGAAAGAGTAAAAATTTATAATTTAAAGGAAACATTTTATGGCAACAAAAAAGGGAAATTATATATACTTACACTATTTCATAATGAACAAGAAGGAAATTATTGTCACTACATAAATAAGAAAGAAGATAAAAATATATGGCACAGAAGATTAGGTCACCTAAATAGAAAGGGTTTAAAGATGATGCGTTTAGAATCAGATAAAAATATTTGTAATACTTGTATGACTAATAAGAGTACTAGACATTATTGGCTCAAGCTATATCAATGAACTGGAGTATAAGGCAACTTGATGTGCCCACAGCATTTTTGAATGGCTTGTTAGAATCCGAAGTTTACATAAAGGCACCAGAAGGAATTAAAGTACCAAAGAATAAAGTATTAAAATTAAATAGAGGATTATACGGTTTAAGGGAAAGTCCAAAATGCTGGAATCAAAGATTTAATAGTTATGTAGAAAAGATTGGATTCATAAGATCACAACATGATTTTTGCTTATATATGGGAGAGAAAATAAAAGTATGGATGGTAATATATGTTGACGATTTGTTGCTAATTGGAATAGATGAAAATATCAATAAAGTAGTAAAATACCTGGAGTCTGAATTTCATGTAAAAGATTTTGGATTCCCTACATCATTTCTTGGTATGGAAATACAGAAAAATAATGAATTATTGAAGATAACACAGAAAAGACAAATAAATAAGATGCTAGAAAAATTTCATATGATTGATTGCAAAACTACAGATACACCTATAGTAAAAGGATTTCAATTAGATGAAAGTGAACCAGTTTTACCAGACATTCCATATAGACAGCTGATTGGAAGTCTTATGTTTGTGGCTACAGTTTCTAGACCAGACATATCATATGCTGTTTCTTATCTGAGTCAGTATTTAGATAGACCCACAAAAGGCTTGTGGATTCAAGGAAAAAGAATTTTAAGATACCTGAAAGGAACTCAGGAAAATGGATTGTTATACGAAAGAAAAGGGACAGGTAACAGTAATATTATAGAAACATTTTCAGATGCAGATTGGGCAGGAAATCACACTGACAGAAAGAGTGTTTCTGGATCAATAACTTTATATAATGGGTGTGTTGTAGCTTGGTTCTCAAGGAAGCAAGTTTGTATTGCATTGTCGACAGTTGAAGCTGAGTACATTGCAGCAGCTACCAGTGCAAGTGAGTTAGTTCATGTGAAAGGACTATTCAGTGACTTTGGACTCGATAGTGAAGTGAAGTGCATACTGTACATGGACAATATAGGTGCAATTCAATTGTCAAAATCATTTGAAAATAGTAAGCGAGCAAAGCACATTGATATTAAATATCAAATACATATACTGATACATACATAAGTATATTTATATAGAAATACATAATAAAAAAAAACTTGCGTGATGTCCTGTGTCCAGTAATTAGACATTATTGTCCCGGATTCCGATAATGTGCTAGTTTCGTAACAAAATAAACTAATAACGAATGACACCAGCTTGATATTGGGGTTTGATTTGATGCATTTTTTCCGGGGAGGGGGCGGGGAGGTGCAAATGTCCCGGGATCGATAAGCCAGCAAGCATCTGGCAACCCTAAGTCACCCTTGGACGCGGAGTACTTTTTAATAGTCTTCAAAAAGGAGAAGGTTAAGGTTCTCAATTCGTGAATCTTTTTCATCTTTTTCTGTTTTATACTATGGTTTTATATGGTAGGTAAGGCCCTGGTATTACCTACTAGTGATGTGCATTAATTGATTCAATGATCGAATTTTGGTATTTGCAATAAACTATACCTATTGTTTTTTTAATAAATATGTAACTCATAAATACATCATTCTCTGTAAGATGTAATAATAAAATAAACAAAAAAACAAGGTACATGGTAACAACCCAGAAAAATTACTTATATTACTATAAATTTGTTTCAACTGCCCTCATACCGAGGTAAGATGAAACAGGGGTCGAGGAGAGTTGAAATATATGATTTTGGGAAGCATTAAAGGCTGAAAATAAAAAAAAATGGTTGCCTGTAAAGTCGGTTTTACGGGCGAAGATTTTACGTGACAACGTCTTTTTCTCGGTAGAATATTTATTGATATGAATATAATTAAATTGCACAATAGGAACAAGGAATTGAATGAAAATAAGAATTGCACAAATTTTAACTATAGAAATATATTTTGTTTACTAAAACATTGTACATGTAAACTTAAACTTAACACGAGAGACTCATCGTAACGTTACCGAGCGTTACACTTTTTCATAAGTGACTCCCAGCCGCAACCTAATTTAAGACGTTGTCACGTCAAAATGTGGTTGTGTGGTGAAAAATAAATACTTAAAATCTTTCAATAATTTTATTATTGTCATTATGTATCCATTTAGACATAGCAGTATTTGTAACAGAAACATTAAATCGAAATCATCGTCATCGAAAAAATCTTTTATCATAAACAATAAGTAATTAAATATAGGTAAATAATTTTAGATGTAACATGAAAACAGTTTACAAAAATAATACCTAATTAATTAATAACATAACATATTAAATGATTACATTAAAATTAACTAAAGATACTACGTATGGAATATTTATTAACGCAATAATTTGAATTTATCTTAATAATAAATAAATATTAGTTTAAAATTATAAAAATCCGATTATATTTCTAATATTACAGTAATTAAATCACGTATAAGAGATTTTTTACTACTATGTGAAAATAATTGCAAACACAGCCCTGCTGGTAGATGAATCTTAAATTTTACGGAATACATAGGCATAATTAATAAATGGTATTACTAAGCACAAAAATATATTAATAACTGCTATATTTAGAAGGAAAAAAATTGTCCTTCCATTACTTACACTGCATACAATGCTCTTATTTATCTACGTACAACAATAATCCGTCTTATTTTTATCCATTATCGATAAAAAATTATGTACGCACAGCAGCTCCTCAGGTTATATAAAACTGATAAAGTTCTCCGATATACTTTTAATATTTAAAGTTAAATACGAAGATCAAAATTCTCTACAGAATTTCTACACAAAACACACGACATACATCACATTTAATGTCGAAATTCTGTACTTTCTCAAGTAACGAGACAAGCTGTTGACCGTAAATAACAAAAATCAGCATAAGCTTAAAAACACTACCTAAACTAGTATATAGTTGGTATAATAATGTATAGATATAGAAAGTCGCGCTACGTGAGATATTGTCAACTTCCTTTACAAAGACCTAGATGTCATTAAAGCATGCATTCAATACTTTAATATAAAGCATCATATACAAAACGTATGTTTATTTTAAAGTATCAATATAGAGTAAAACCAAAACAAGGCTCCACAAAATGAAGGTGCAAGCAGGACCTTTATAAACGTAAAAATCTCTCAAAAAGAGACATAGGAATATTAACATTTTTTTCTTAATTGAAATTTACGATGAAAATACATTGGTAATAAAATTTCATAAATTGATTATGAAAAACTATTGGCTAGGAAATTGGGTCAGGGTAGATAATGGTCACAGACTACTAAGGGGTGGCAATGGTGCACTGAGCAAGTACAAGCAGAAACATATTTGTGTGTCGACACGACTTGTCCTACAAATATGTCTCTAATCATAATAAATGTATGAAACCGATGTGCTTCTGGCGCGTCACGACATGCCACGACATGTTAATATGTTTCTGACTTAAGATATTTCTGGTATCACAAGAATCTATAGCATTATGGTGGCCGCTTACCATCAAGCGGGCTGTACACTTGTGTGCCACCCTTAAAAAAATACATATTTTACTTAGGACTGATGAATTTGTAATGATAAAAACTAATAAAATATTGAATATTATAGGTCTTCAATCAGAAATTAGGAAACTAAGAATTTAAATATATTATCGTCATGGTTAAAAACACTTTGGGTAGGTACTAGATAAACATTATCTTTAAATAACTTTGAAATGCATTGCCCATACTGTATTTTTTGCAAGTGGTTACAGCGCCATTACTATAATTATTACCACATGAGATGTTTCTGTTCTGTAGCTTTTCATAGCATATATTGGGCGTGCTTAGACATTTTGTAGTAATATGTTCAACGCCCGTATAAATAATCGATATATCGATTTTGTCTGTTTTATATTTCCTTGTGTGTCATTAGTCAATACTAAAGGCCAGATAATAAAGCTATTGCCTGATTTTTGCTATAAAATATCTCCCTTGAGCAATAAAAAGTTTTCAAATTATTTATATGAATAATTAAATTGTGATTATACACTGGTATTACAGTCATTATTCTATGTACATAGAGACAACAGTCAACAACAGATTTACATTAATTTACTTAGATATAGATGGTTCCAATCACATTTATTCTGTATATAAATAAATCTGGTATTGACAGTTTACGATTTGGCTTAAATTAAGTTCCAAATTGCATTATGGCAGAACTAAACTTATCTGTCGTGTTGTGTTGTGAAGCATCAGAGAGCTAACTGTTTCATACATATAGTATCTTTAGAGTGAGAACGGTGTCAACACATCGCGATAGATCGTGACACACAAGTATATTTGTAACCGTACTTAATGTATGAAACCGATCGTGTCAGATCGCGTCACAACACAACACGACGGATAAGTATATTTTTGCTTCTTTTGTTTACAAAACTGAGGCATAATTAGAGAACCACGTGTGACTTTAAACATGTAGGTACCTAAAACCGATATATTTTCATTCAGAATAAATGGGATTCCAACCGACTATTGGTACTTATTTAATAATATGCTTAAAATTTTCAACAACATTCCACAAGTTACACTTATAGCCGTTTTCGCTGTGATATTATAATGACTTACTTATTATAAAAAATGAGTATAAGATTTTATAAAATAATAAATAACTATAAATAAAGTATAGCCACAGCTATTGTTTATCAACACACGGTTTCAAACAATGCAAATTAATTAATAAATACTCAGTTTATGTTAGATAAACAAATAAGTAAAAATCACACTCTTTTAATTATTCTACACTTTTTAATGACAGTGCGGGAATTATTCTGTTTCGTGAGAAAATATCGATATTCCTTTTTTCATACCTACATCACTGATCCATAGATTGTTGATTTCATAAATGTTCGCTGTCGCATTCGTTGAATATTCACTGTAAAAACAGTAAAAAACATTTCAACAAATAAAAAGTCAACAATATACCAGTTATGTGACCAAGATGCCTGAAAAGAATCCGAAATCTCCACCATTTGTTTAATACTTTATTTACGAAGTGTCATTACAGATATTAAAATTGCATTAAATTACTATTGAAAATATTTACCTTCGTCTTTGGTCGTACGGCCAGTGTCAATTTTTGGACCAAATGAGTTGCGTGTCCTGAAAATAAAAGTTAAGGTTAACTCAACTGATGTCGATTCTGGCATGATTCTCTGAACTTAAACCTAAATTTAATATCAGTCTGTCCTATTCATTCTACATAGAGAATGACAAGGATACACTGTTGTCAAATTTCAGTTTAGGTTTAGAGAATCAAGCCAGAATCGACACCAATAACTTATTCATTTATTTGACAGCAATCTATATTTTTATTCTATATAAGAATAAACTGTTGTCAAACTTAAGCCCTCTGCTTAATAGCGTGTCGTGGAGTGTCGTAGCGGGCCAGAAGAACATCGGTTTCATACATTTACTATGGTTAGAAATATATTTACATGTCGTGTCGTGTCAACGCTCTAAACTCCCTCTCTCTCTCTTACTAATGTATTTTCATTATGGGTTAGACCCATAATAAATGTATGAAACCGGCGCGCCACGATTGTAAATATGCACAGGGCTTTACGTTATGGCAAAGTCAGAGTGAATGAACATTATACTAGCTGAGTACAAAGTAATTAAATTTATGTAAAAGGCTGATTTCCTTTGAATTTAGTAAGTGGCGAGTTTAGAAATCATACAGATAAGCACTAGGTTTGTACTTAACTGGTAAATCCCTGTCCAAACGAGGATAAGAACTTAACTCGCTCTACTGTACTTACAAAAGTATCAACCTTTATACAAATAAAAACAAATGGTCATCCTATTATTGAGTTGTATATATACGCCGGGTTTCATAGCGTCGCCTACTCCGAGGTCCTAGGTTCCAATCCCGGTGGGGGCAAATGTTAGCAAATGTTAGTAGGTATGTTGAATACGAGCATTTGTACCTTAGTCAGGGATGTTTATACATATTTTTAGATTAAAGAATACTTATATATGTATCGGTATATGTATTCTATCCGTTACCCTAGCATCCCATCCCATAACACAAGCCTTACAGTGCTTACCACTGTAAGGCTTGTGTTATGGGATATTTGGAGCTATTCTAATTGGTGGGAAAGTGGGAAAAGAAAGGGGGGAAAGGCCTCTGTATTATTTCTCCCACTCAGCTCGTTCTATCGGTAAAAGTTAAATGGGCGCAGCGGTGAGGATCATGTGTGTGTGTGTGTGTGTGTGTGTGTGTGTGTGTGTGTGTGTGTGTATGTGTATGTGTGTGTGTGTGTGTGTGTGTGTGTGTGTGTGTGTGTGTACGGTACCGGTGAGCGTGGACAGGCACGTGAGGCGGGTGCGCGGGTGCAGCAGCAGCAGGTAGACGGGGGCGGCGGTGAGGATCATGAGGCATCCCACGCCGGTCTCCGCGGGCGATGCTACGGCCGGCACAGCTACCACCAGGATCGTGCACACTATGTAGATCACTGTACAACAACCAAACAACTGCTTAATAACATCAGTTCAATTACACCCCGCTTAAATTAGGTGCGTGCACACAATGTCGCTTTAGCACAATTTGACAAGCAAGCAAATTGCATCTGCACTTATAAAAACCATCTTTGTAAAAATATGAATACATCCAAGAATAAAAATCTACTTTGAGGAGCTGGCGGACAAAACGTTATAATTACATAAAATAAAATTTTACAGGAGCTGTATAAAACTGAATGACATACCTCCAGTGAGCTTTTGGCATGGTTTTTAATTTATAAATTGAGTAATTTTAACACTGTTTTAGGCGGTTTTGATTGAAAATTATTTGAAATTTAAATTTAAGTGGGGCTTAACCTTCGGTCTGTAAAAAAAATGTAGTTTGACCAGATGCGTAATTATACCGTTTTGTTCGCAAGCTCCTCATTTTATAGTCGCTTATCATTCGTAATATAACTATGATTATTTTCTTAAAATCAATAAAAAAATGTTTTAAATGTAATTCGCTTATATACTTATAATATGCAATGGCTGATCTATAAATGCACAGCACAAACGTCGTCGTAGGCGTCGGCTATGAAAGGGTTTTCCATAACTCACCCTCCAAAGAAATAAAACGGGAGTTCAAAGTTTCTATGGGAAACCCACTTTTCCACGTAGACGAAGTCATGGGATCCCACTAGTTATCAATTAAAGGACAACAATACAGCTCAGGCCTAAGTTATTATTTTGAGGCCCAACCGTTTGAAAAAGGAGAAAAAGCATCTGCAGATGCACCGTACACAAATATGGAACACGTCGTTGAAACATATCGTTCTGTCTCGCTCAATCAATTGAAAAAAAAATATATTATAGGTGTGTGAATGAGAGAGAAAAAGTTACACAAGTAGTTGAGCCACATTATTTTTTATTTGAAGTAAGTTAAAGAGTACATTATCTTCCCTTTTTGGTTCAATCTAAACATTACACTGTAATAGACACACAAAATCAATGAGGCAAATCAATTTTTTGCGAATTACTATCGATTAAAATAGTAAAGAAAATTTTACTAGATAAAAATCCACACTGTCCAGACTGCAGAAGTGACTTGCACCCGCACCCTCCGCCCACCCTCTTATATAATATCCAGCACGTACGTAATAACAAACACGAAGACAATGATCAAACCACATCGAGCCCCAATAAAAAAAATATCGCATTGAAAATGTTTAAAAAAACTTTAATTTTTATTAAGAGGCTGGTGTGCCGGTACAGTCAATCTGTAGGTTGAGGGTTGAAAAAAAAACCTAAAGGGTAAGTCTTGTTTTTTCTGTTGCCAAATGACGTCAGTAAGCCACCTTGGCGATGGGCATGTTCAACTCGTAGGCGTTTTTTGAAAAACTCAAAAAAACCGTCAAAAATTTTTTGAAACGCATTTTTCTTGTTTTGTATGCATTTTAGAAACTTTTTTTTCGACCATAATTGTAGAGGGTGTTGAGTGCTACAATTTATGTCATTGTTGCAATCTCGTACAACAAAAAATGCGCATTGTAGGTGGCGCTGAAGTCTCAAAAAAGTGTTTTTTCACTTTTTCATCCTGAAAATATCGTTTTAATGGAAAACTTTAAATGGCAAAGTTGTTTCGTACATAATTACCAACAACTTTTGTATTAACAATTTTTTTGTATTACTTACCGTTTTCAAGTTATAAATTGCGCAGGTATGAAAAATCCAATAGAGCGGTTTTGGGCAGTTCAAGTACACATTTGCAGTGCACATTTCAATGTACGTTTTTACTATTTTTTTTTCAATCATGAAAAAAAAATAAAAATAAAACTATTTTTTTTCATTTTTTTTTGTTTTTCAATCATGAAAAAAAATAAAAAATAGTAAAACGTCCATTGAAATGTGCACTGCAAATGTGTACGTGAACTGCCCAAAACCGCTCTATTGGATTTTTCACACCTGCGCAATTTATAACTTGAAAACCATTAATACAAAAAAATTGTTTATACAAAAGTTGTTGGTAATTATGTACGAAACAACTTTGCCATTTAAAGTTTTCCATTAAAATGATATTTTCAGGGTGAAAAAGTGAAAAAACACTTTTTTGAGACTTTAGCGCCACCTACAATGCGCATTTTTTGTTGTACGAGATTGCAACAATGACATAAATTGTAGCACTCAACACCCTCTACAATTATGGTCGAAAAAAAAGTTTCTAAAATGCATACAAAACAAGAAAAATGCGTTTCAAAAAATTTTTGACGGTTTTTTTGAGTTTTTCAAAAAACGCCTACGAGTTGAACATGCCCATCGCCAAGGTGGCTTACTGACGTCATTTGGCAACAGAAAAAACAAGACTTACCCTTTAGGTTTTTTTTTCACTGAAACGATATTTTTTTCGACAGATTGACTGTACTAGATAGCGACCACCGGTACTTGGTTTTCGTATCGTCTATGCATAGCTACGGAGTTTTGAGACTGAGATTTTGGAAATTTAAATAAAAGGTGTATCTTTGAAAGTCTAATAGCGTATAATTTTTAAATTCGAAAAATTGCTGTTACATAATTCGAGGAAGAGGGATTGGGAACAATATTTTGCTACCAATGGCAGCGTCGATTTTTATATGAACTTGGTGCGTTCCGTCTCGCACAGAAATGCCAAACATGCCCCCGGCTTTGGAAGCAGCAGCTTTCAATGTTTTCCAAGGCTTGCAGAATCATCGTCGTATAAAAGAGGGCAGATTTTGGTGTAGGCACGTCGAACAACACCTGAAGCCGTTTGTATGTCCGTCACTCTTGAAATGCCGTCCTTCCCTGTGATGGTCCTTAACACTCGTCCCAAGCTCCATTTAAGCGGTGGAAGGTTAGTGTCCTTGAGCAGGATCTTCAGGTCCGCCTTATTATCAGTCCATTTACTCCGCACCTGCAACTCGGATACATATTCTTTGGCCAAGCGTGTCCAAACGTGTTGGCGCATATATTCTACCATTTGATGCCGTTTCAAACGATGAGTAGGAATATCTCTGAGTTCATCAGTGGCTGGTGACGTTAGTGGTCGACCAACCAAGAAGTGTGCGGGAGTAAGCGGAGAAAGGTCTTTGGGATCCGGGGATAGTGGAGAGAGCGGTCTGGAATTTAAAACTGCTTCTATTTGTGACAACACAGTACTAAACTCCTCAAAGGTGAGATGTGAATTACCTACAACCCGACGCAAATGGTATTTGCAAGACTTAACTCCTGCCTCCCACAGACCACCAAAATGAGGCGAATAAGGTGGAATAAACGAAAATTTAATATTTTGATTCGCGGCATATTCTTTTATATTTGAATCGCATCGTCGCAAAAAATCTGAAAAATCATTCATTAGACCTACAAAGTGTTCGCCATTCGCCATTAATATTAATTCCACGTCTTTTCCAGTTGTTCGGAACGCTCAACTGGAAAAGACGTGGAATTAATATTAATGGCGAATACATCTCACACCTCCGATTCGCGGACGACATCGTCATCCTGGCTGAAACCCTGCAAGAGCTACAGGTGATGGTGAGCAGCCTGGCTGAATCTTCCAAACGCATCGGTCTCCGGATGAACTTGGATAAAACCAAGGTCATGTTCAACGAGCTCGTTGATCCGGGACTGGTTGCTGTTAATGGAGTACCTCTTGAGGTTGTTCATGAATATGTCTATCTAGGACAAACGCTCCAATTAGGCAGAAACAACTTCGAGAGAGAAGCCAATAGAAGAATTCAGTTAGGCTGGGCAGCATTTCGTAAGCTTCGTCAAGTCTTCTCGTCACCCATCCCTCAATGTCTCAAGTCGAAAGTCTTCGACCAGTGCGTCCTCCCAGTTATGACATACGGCGCCGAGACGTGGACACTCACGGCTGGACGAGTCCACCAGTTTAAAGTCGCTCAGAGAGCTATGGAAAGGGCTATGCTCGGAGTATCCCTGAAGGACCGCATCAGAAATGATGTAATCCGACAGAGAACCAAAGTCACCGACATAGCCCACCGAATTAGCAAACTGAAGTGGCAGTGAGCTGGTCACATTAGCCGCAGAACTGATGGACGTTGGAGTCGGAAAGTTCTTGAGTGGAGACCGCGACTCGGTAAACGTAGTGTAGGACGCCCTGAGACAAGATGGGATGATGATATTCGTAGGCTGGCTGGAGTGGGCTGGATGAGAGTAGCACAAAATCGGGAGCAGTGGCGTGCATTAGGGGAGACCTATGTCCAGCAGTGGACGAACATGGGTTGATGATGAGATGATGAGACCTACAAAGTTGCGACCGTTATCGGAAAATATTTCCATTGGCTTACCGCGTCGCGAAATAAACCTATTGAGTGTTAGTAAATATGCTTCCGTAGTGAGATCAGTGACAAATTCTAAGTGAACAGCGCGCGTCACGAAACACGCAAATAAACAAACGTATGCTTTAGCAGTTTTAGCCCCCCTACCTTTACGGTTAAGTATGTGCACTGGCCCACAGTAATCCACTCCGCATCGAATGAATGGAAAGCTAGGCGTTATCCTTTCCCCTGGTAAGTTACCCATGGGGTGTTAATGTTGTACCCTTAAGGCGCTTGCAAGTAATACAACTCCAAACTATTTGCCTAGCTAGACCTCTGCCACCTAAAGGCCACCAGGTCTCGCGTAAGTTATAAAGTAATGCCTGGGGTCCAGCATGGAGAAGTCTCTGGTGCTCACCACGAAATAATAATGTTGAAAAATAATGTTTACTACTTATTAAAAAAGGGTGCTTTTTATTATAAGAAAATTCACTTGTGTTATTTAAACGGCCACCTACACGCATTATATTATTTATATCCATAAATACATTAAGTTTACTTAAGCTACCTTTGCACTTTATTTGTGAACCTTTGAGCAACAAGGAATATTCATTTGGAAAGCTTTCCATCTGTGACCACCTTATTAAAACATTCTCAGATGCATTCAACTCATTGACACCAATGACGCCCGTCAGTTTATTATTCTTGTTGCGAACATT